TCCGGAGAGGGGGGGCGTCACCTCCACGGCCCGGCCCGGAGAAGGGAGGGGGGGTCCGGGGGGTGCCGGCCTGGGGGTGCCGCTGCCCCCCGAGCTCTGCTTTGTGCCCCTGGGGGCAGTGCTGGAGCAGCTGGAGCCCCGAGCAGCCCCACCTCGGGGGGTTTGGGGGTCTCTGGGGAACCGCGGCCTCCGGGGAGAGCTCAGCTGGGCGGGGGCGGGGGGAGGCACCCGGGGCAGAGCCGAATTCCCGAGGAGGGGCTCCAGGGGACAGAACCCCCGGGACCGGAGGTGTCCGGAGGGGACAAGACCGGAGGGGAGTGCTCAGAGAGGGGGTGAGGGGACAAATGGAGGGAGAAATGGGGCGCGGGGGGATAAAGGGGGGGCTGCTGCACCCACAACCCAACGCTCCTCCAGCCAGGGCAGCTTTTATTCCGCTCAGGATCCTCCTTTCCGTGCCCAATCCTTCCCTTCCCGCCGCTCTCCTGCCGAGCCCCGGCCCGCCACACGCGGCTGGGTCTGGGGGTCTCCCCTCCTCCCCTCCCCGCAGGGTTCGGACCCCCCCCCCGGGCCGGGCCCGCAGCGCAGCCGCTCCCGTGGGGCCGGAGCGGCCCCGAGCAGCGCGGGGGCGGCCCCGGTGCTCGCCCCCAGCCGTGTCCCCTCAGGGTGACATCACGTAGGCGGTGGCGATGAACCTCCTGCCGCTGCCGTAGGTGGATTTGGTCCAGGGGTAGGTCTGCACGCTCAGGCGGTGCCCGCCCAGGCTCAGGTGGCACCTGTGGGGAACTGCCTGTCACCACCCTGCTCTGTGCCTGAGTCACACCGAGGGGGCTCCGGGGGGCTCTTGGTGTCCCCACACCCACGGTGCTCCAGCCCTGAGCCCCTCATGCCACAGTCCCATCTCCAGGATGCGCTTGGTGTCCCCAGCCAATGCTGCTCCATGGCCATCTCCATCCATATCCTCATTTCCATCACCACCCCCATCCCCATTCCCACCTCATCCCCATTTCTGTTTCCATCCCCATCCCCATCCCAATCCCCATTTCAACCCCCATCCCATTCCATCCCCACCCCATCCCCATTTCCGTTTCCATCCCCATCCCCATTCCATCCCCATCCCATCCCATCCCATCCCATCCCATCCCATCCCATCCCATCCCCATCCCAATCCCCATTCCATCCCCATTTCCATTTCCATCCCAATTCTCATTTCCATCCCAATCCCCATTCCATCCCCATTTCTATCCCCATCCCATAAATCCCATCCCAATCCCCATCCCAATTCCATCCCATCCCATCCCTCCCCAAATTCAGGGCCAGCCTCAGCCCTGATGGGGCTCAGGGAGGCCCCGCTGGCCCCAGGGCCGGATTTAGGACGGACAGAAGGACACGGGACGGACAGAGGGACGCGGGACGGACAGAGGGACGCGGGGTCAGCACTCACGCCCGGCCGGGCCGTGCGAGGAAGCAGAGGGAGTAGAGGCCGAACTCGAACTCGGGGCTGCAGCCGATGAACGCCGAGCCCACCTCCTTGTAGAAGCCGTCCCAGCTGAACTGCAGCCCCAGCACGTCGGGGTACGTGTCCCACTGCGGGGCAGCGGGGTCTGGGCTCAGCAGGGTGGGAATCCCTGCCCAGCCCAGCCAGGAACCCTCCCACCCTCCCCAGGGAGGCTCCAGAGCAGCTCCTGGCCGGGCTGGGGGGTCCCGGCAGAGCCCCCCGGCCCCAAATCTCTCCCTGATGGCTTGGGAGCCCCTCTCGCCCCTGGTGCTGTGGGTTCCAGCCCTTCCCACCCCACAGAGGGGATGGGGCAGGGGGAGCACCCCTGATCTGTGGGTTCATCCCCGTGGGCCCCCCGCGAGCTCTCACCGGCCCGTTGAAGTTGTGGCTGAAGTAGTTGACGACCCCCTGCTTCTCCAGGAGGTAGAAGCGGATCCAGTTGTGAAATCCAGACACTTTTCCCTTTTTCACCTCCCCTAAAACACAGAGGGGACGCTGGGATGAGCCCCCTGCCCAGGGAGGGCTGTACCTGAGAACAGGAGCTCAAAACTGTCCTGGGCAGGGCTGCACCTCAGAACACCTGCCCTGGGAGGGCTGCACCTGAGAACAGGGCTCAAAACCACCCAGGGAGGGCTGTACCTGAGAACACCACCCCAGGAGGGCTGTACCTGAGAACACCCAGGAGGGCTGTACCTGAGAACACCACCCCAGGAGGGCTGTACCTGAGAACATCACCCAGGGAGGGCTGTACCTGAGAACACCACCCAGGGAGGGCTGTACCTGAGAACACCACCCCAGGGAGGGCTGTACCTGAGAACACCCAGGGAGGGCTGTACCTGAGAACACCCAGGGAGGGCTGTACCTGAGAACTCCCAGGAGGGCTGTACCTGAGAACACCACCCCAGGAGGGCTGTACCTGAGAACACCACCCCAGGGAGGGCTGTACCTGAGAAGACGTGCTCGAAGCCGCTGGAATCGCGCTCTCCGTCCCCTCGGGAGTAGAGGCCGAACCACATCTGCTTCAGATCCTGCAGGAACTCCTGCTCGGAGCTGTAGCGGTCTGCAGGGAAAGGCAGGAGCAGGGAGAGGCAGAGCTGGGGCTCTGCTGGACTTGTGGGTGCTGAGAAATTTAGGTTTTCTGTGCTGACAGACTCTGACCCCCAGGAGAGCGCTGCATTTGACCCGAGGCCATGAAGAAGTGCTATCAATCAATCAATTCCAAAATTGATTGATAGCGCTGGGATTACGGGTGCGTGGTTTGATTAGAAGTTTGTGATGTCACAGGGTGGAAAACTTAGAGTTTGGGGTTTTGGAATGTAGTAATAAATACGGAGCAAGGTGGAGGTTTTAGGTTGTTCTTCCTCCTTCTTCTTCATGGGTTTGGGTGGTGTTTTGTAATTGGACAGAAAAATCCGCATTGAGGACTTTGGGGGATGAGTTATTCGGTTGAAAGTGAAAATAATTTAGGTGCTATTTCCTAATTAGATAGTTTAGCCTTAAAACACCTTGTAACAAGAGATTGTTGGCCATTTTGTGCCTGGTTAATGAAGGACTGCAGAACTCAGGGTTGTGAGGCTGTAGCATTGATAAGAAACAATAAACACCTGAGTCTGAATGTGAAATATCATCTTGAGTGCCTTCAATTCCGACCTCAGCAGAGGTAGAAAAAGGAAGCTGAGAACCAGCAGGGTTCCCCATCCCTTCCCCACGCTGTCCCTCGGGAATTCTCCCTCTGGATTCCCCCCTGTGGCCGTCCCAGGTGTTCCCTGGCTGGGGCTTTGTGGAAGAGGTTTTACAGAGACTCCTGTGAACCGGAGAGAAGTTTGATAAGAGGATCCATGTTTACCCCTGAAAGAATTTCCTACCAAGGTCGTTGACATAGAAACCAAGAAAGAAAAGGATAAATAAGAGAAATCTGCAGTTATCCCAATGAGCAATTTGTTTGTCTCTCGTGACCAATGAGAGAAGTGTAAACTTAGGAGTTTTGTAAGAACACATAAAAAGCATGCATGCTAAAATAAAAATGGGGTTTTTATTTTAAAAAAACCCATTAAAAATAACTAAAAATTAAAATAAAATTTGATTTTTAAAAGCCTCCTGAAAATGGAGTGAGCCGCTTTGGATTGTCTCCCTTCGGGATTCCCCCATTCCCCGCTCCACACTCACTTTTTCCCTGCAGGAACACAAAGAGTTTCTTCATCAGCTCCGTTTTCATCACCTCCTCGAGGAAACGCTCCTGCTCCCGCAGCTCCTCGGTCGTCACCTCCTCCTCCCTGCCCGTGGCCCTCTGGTAATTATCCAGCAGCTTAATGAAGCTGGCGTAGGTGGGCTTGGAGAAGAGCTCCTCGTTCACGTATTTGTAGAGCCTGCGGGAGAATTGCTGGAATTGCAGCTCCCTTCCCCCCAGCTCGGGGCCGCTGTCCCTCCCCTGGTGCCACTCACGGCTGCGGGGACCGGTCCTGCTTGTCCCCGGTCTCGTCGGGGCCCGCCAGGTGCTGCGGGTTGATGGCGACGTCGCTGGGCCGGGCTTTGTTGTGGTCCAGCCCGTAGAGCTGCTCTGAGAGCTGCAGCAGCTCCCGGTCCGTGATGGAATCGCTGCTGCTGGAGAATCCGTCTGTGGGGACAGCGGGGGCTGGGGACGGCTCTGGGATCCGTGGGAAAGGGGAGGGATCCAGGGAAAAGTCAAGGGGATCCAGGGGAAAATGAGGGGGATCCAGTGGATCCATGGAAAAGTGAAGGGGATCCAGAGGATCCATGGAAAAGCGGCCCAGCCGGCAAAGGCAGCCCTGGAGGAGCGGGCGTTGCTCTCCCTGGCGGAGCCGCCGCAATCTCCGACATCTGAGGCACCGCGGGCTCGCCCAGCCCGGGTGAAAGGTGGCCCCGGGGCAAATCCTGATGCGGCTCATCCTGTCCGGGGACACCCAGGTGATGACAGCGACATCCAGGCCATGAGGGCGGCATCCAGGCGATGACAGCGACATCCAGGCCATGAGGGTGGCATCAAGCTCCCGACACCGCCGCCTTCCCGCGTTGTTTGTCCCCTTTGTCACCTCACCCCGACTGTTTGTGCTCGGTGATGTCACCCCGGCCCCGCAGGTGCTGGGGGACCCCTCGGCTCCCTTGCCCCCCAAATCCCAGCTCCTGGGGGTGTCCTTGGCTTGGTTTTCCCTCTTGGTTTCCCATTCTCTGTAAATCCTTTAAACAGGAGGATTTTGGCATGGGGGGGGTCTCGAGGTTCTCCTGAAACCCCTGAGAAGAGCTGGGAGAACTTCCAGGGCAGGGACATCCCATGGATGGAGTGCTCGGTGCTGCCCAGACCCTCCCAGTCCGACCAGTCCAGCCCCAGCCCCGTTCCCAGAACAGCACTGGGATGAACCCCCCTGGCTCGCTCATCCCCTTCCTTTTCCAGCCGCGATCCCGGCGGGATTGGGCAGGGCAGGAGCTGCCCACGCTCCCCCCGTCACCACCGAGCCCGTCCCGGTGCCGGTCCCGCGCTCCCGGGGGTGTCACAGCGGCCCGAGCGTGTCACAGCAGCCCGAGCGTGTCCCAGCAGGGCCCCGACCCTGACTCAGCCCTCGGAGGGGCGGGCTCAGCATCATCCCAAATCCTCAAATCCCCAGTCCCAAATCCCCAGCGCCACGGGGCACCTGAGCGGGCTCAGGGCAGGGGAACGGCTCCTCCTCCTCACTCAGACACGACCCTAAATTCTTACATCGACCCTAAACCAACCCTAAACCCACCCTAAATCGCGGCAGGGCCCTCAGCTGTCCCTGGTGGGGGTAGGGGGGGCTGCTGGAGCTCTTGGGAGCATTTTGGGGCTGTGGGAAGAGCTGGAAACGCCACAGGGGTGGTGGCCCAGGACAGAAGGACACGGCCCAGGCACACTCAGCCACCCCGGGGGTTTTTGGCTGGACCAGCCAGGGGAGACTTTTTGGCTGATCCTGCCCCAAGATTTTCTCTGGCTGCACAGAGCACAGAAATATTTCTCTTTCTCGGGGACCAGACCCCTCCCAGCGCTCCCAAACGGAGTTGTGGCCCAGGAAAGGGGGACATTCCCTGCCCAGCTCCATCCTCCGGGCACTGGGGAGGTGCCGGAGCTCTCCCAGTGCTCCCAGTTTGGTTTCGGGCACGGGGATGAGTCAGCTCAGCCAGAGCCGCGTCCTCGAGCCCCTGGCCTGACTCAGGACCTCGTTCCTCCAGGAAAACACAGCTCCAAACCCAGCCCAGGCTCCAGAAGGGACCATCTGAAGTACAAACGAGCCTGGAACAGAGCTGTGGACAGCGTGAGCTTCCCAAACCCTCAGTTCCTGGCTGCAAACCCGCACGTGAGCCCTGTCTGTGGGATAATCAGGGAAAATCTCCCACTGCCCACACCAGGAGAAGTGGAGAGGTTTCAGGTCCACCAGACAGGTCCAGCAGGCGGCCAGGACTGACCACGAGGCAGCCGAGCTTCCCAGCCACCTTCACCACGGCTTTTCCTTCTGGAACAGCTCAGGACTCACACGGGAAATTTGGGGACTCACTCAGGAGTTTGGGAGCTCATGACTCAGAAAATTTGGGAGCTCAGGACTCACTCAGGAGTTTGGGGACTCACTCAGGAGTTTGGGAACTCAGGAGTTTGGGAGCTCAGGGCTCACACAGGAAATTTGTGAGCTCAGGACTCAGGAGTTTGGGGACTCACTCAGGAGTTTGGGAACTCAGGACTCACACAGGAAATTTGTGAGCTCAGGACTCAGGAGTTTGGGGACTCACTCAGGAGTTTGGGAACTCAGGAGTTTGGGAGCTCAGGGCTCACACAGGAAATTTGTGAGCTCAGGACTCAGGAGTTTGGGGACTCACTCAGGAGTTTGGGAACTCAGGAGTTTGGGAGCTCAGGGCTCACACAGGAAATTTGTGAGCTCAGGACTCAGGAGTTTGGGGACTCACTCAGGAGTTTGGGAACTCAGGAGTTTGGGAGCTCAGGGCTCACACAGGAAATTTGTGAGCTCAGGACTCAGGAGTTTGGGGACTCACTCAGGAGTTTGGGAACTCAGGAGTTTGGGAGCTCAGGGCTCACACAGGAAATTTGTGAGCTCAGGACTCAGGAGTTTGGGGACTCACTCAGGAGTTTGGGAACTCAGGAGTTTGGGAGCTCAGGGCTCACACAGGAAATTTGTGAGCTCAGGACTCAGGAGTTTGGGGACTCACTCAGGAGTTTGGGAACTCAGGAGTTTGGGAGCTCAGGGCTCACACAGGAAATTTGTGAGCTCAGGACTCAGGAGTTTGGGGACTCACTCAGGAGTTTGGGAACTCAGGAGTTTGGGAGCTCAGGGCTCACACAGGAAATTTGTGAGCTCAGGACTCAGGAGTTTGGGGACTCACTCAGGAGTTTGGGAACTCAGGAGTTTGGGAGCTCAGGGCTCACACAGGAAATTTGTGAGCTCAGGACTCAGGAGTTTGGGGACTCACTCAGGAGTTTGGGAACTCAGGAGTTTGGGAGCTCAGGGCTCACACAGGAAATTTGTGAGCTCAGGACTCAGGAGTTTGGGGACTCACTCAGGAGTTTGGGAACTCAGGAGTTTGGGAGCTCAGGGCTCACACAGGAAATTTGTGAGCTCAGGACTCAGGAGTTTGGGGACTCACTCAGGAGTTTGGGAACTCAGGAGTTTGGGAGCTCAGGGCTCACACAGGAAATTTGTGAGCTCAGGACTCAGGAGTTTGGGGACTCACTCAGGAGTTTGGGAACTCAGGAGTTTGGGAGCTCAGGGCTCACACAGGAAATTTGTGAGCTCAGGACTCAGGAGTTTGGGGACTCACTCAGGAGTTTGGGAACTCAGGAGTTTGGGAGCTCAGGGCTCACACAGGAAATTTGTGAGCTCAGGACTCAGGAGTTTGGGGACTCACTCAGGAGTTTGGGAACTCAGGAGTTTGGGAGCTCAGGGCTCACACAGGAAATTTGTGAGCTCAGGACTCAGGAGTTTGGGGACTCACTCAGGAGTTTGGGAACTCAGGAGTTTGGGAGCTCAGGGCTCACACAGGAAATTTGTGAGCTCAGGACTCAGGAGTTTGGGGACTCACTCAGGAGTTTGGGAACTCAGGAGTTTGGGAGCTCAGGGCTCACACAGGAAATTTGTGAGCTCAGGACTCAGGAGTTTGGGGACTCACTCAGGAGTTTGGGAACTCAGGAGTTTGGGAGCTCAGGGCTCACACAGGAAATTTGTGAGCTCAGGACTCAGGAGTTTGGGGACTCACTCAGGAGTTTGGGAACTCAGGAGTTTGGGAGCTCAGGGCTCACACAGGAAATTTGTGAGCTCAGGACTCAGGAGTTTGGGGACTCACTCAGGAGTTTGGGAACTCAGGAGTTTGGGAGCTCAGGGCTCACACAGGAAATTTGTGAGCTCAGGACTCAGGAGTTTGGGGACTCACTCAGGAGTTTGGGAACTCAGGAGTTTGGGAGCTCAGGGCTCACACAGGAAATTTGTGAGCTCAGGACTCAGGAGTTTGGGGACTCACTCAGGAGTTTGGGAACTCAGGAGTTTGGGAGCTCAGGGCTCACACAGGAAATTTGTGAGCTCAGGACTCAGGAGTTTGGGGACTCACTCAGGAGTTTGGGAACTCAGGAGTTTGGGAGCTCAGGGCTCACACAGGAAATTTGTGAGCTCAGGACTCAGGAGTTTGGGGACTCACTCAGGAGTTTGGGAACTCAGGAGTTTGGGAGCTCAGGGCTCACACAGGAAATTTGTGAGCTCAGGACTCAGGAGTTTGGGGACTCACTCAGGAGTTTGGGAACTCAGGAGTTTGGGAGCTCAGGGCTCACACAGGAAATTTGTGAGCTCAGGACTCAGGAGTTTGGGGACTCACTCAGGAGTTTGGGAACTCAGGAGTTTGGGAGCTCAGGGCTCACACAGGAAATTTGTGAGCTCAGGACTCAGGAGTTTGGGGACTCACTCAGGAGTTTGGGAACTCAGGAGTTTGGGAGCTCAGGGCTCACACAGGAAATTTGTGAGCTCAGGACTCAGGAGTTTGGGGACTCACTCAGGAGTTTGGGAACTCAGGAGTTTGGGAGCTCAGGGCTCACACAGGAAATTTGTGAGCTCAGGACTCAGGAGTTTGGGGACTCACTCAGGAGTTTGGGAACTCAGGAGTTTGGGAGCTCAGGGCTCACACAGGAAATTTGTGAGCTCAGGACTCAGGAGTTTGGGGACTCACTCAGGAGTTTGGGAACTCAGGAGTTTGGGAGCTCAGGGCTCACACAGGAAATTTGTGAGCTCAGGACTCAGGAGTTTGGGGACTCACTCAGGAGTTTGGGAACTCAGGAGTTTGGGAGCTCAGGGCTCACACAGGAAATTTGTGAGCTCAGGACTCAGGAGTTTGGGGACTCACTCAGGAGTTTGGGAACTCAGGAGTTTGGGAGCTCAGGGCTCACACAGGAAATTTGTGAGCTCAGGACTCAGGAGTTTGGGGACTCACTCAGGAGTTTGGGAACTCAGGAGTTTGGGAGCTCAGGGCTCACACAGGAAATTTGTGAGCTCAGGACTCAGGAGTTTGGGGACTCACTCAGGAGTTTGGGAACTCAGGAGTTTGGGAGCTCAGGGCTCACACAGGAAATTTGTGAGCTCAGGACTCAGGAGTTTGGGGACTCACTCAGGAGTTTGGGAACTCAGGAGTTTGGGAGCTCAGGGCTCACACAGGAAATTTGTGAGCTCAGGACTCAGGAGTTTGGGGACTCACTCAGGAGTTTGGGAACTCAGGAGTTTGGGAGCTCAGGGCTCACACAGGAAATTTGTGAGCTCAGGACTCAGGAGTTTGGGGACTCACTCAGGAGTTTGGGAACTCAGGAGTTTGGGAGCTCAGGGCTCACACAGGAAATTTGTGAGCTCAGGACTCAGGAGTTTGGGGACTCACTCAGGAGTTTCAGGACTGACCACGAGGCAGCCAAGCTTCCCAGCCACCTTCACCACGGCTTTTCCTTCTGGAACAGCTCAGGACTCACACGGGAAAT